GAGCCCTGTCTCAAAAAATAAAGTTATTGACAACCAGTACCTCAAAAACAAGTTGCCATCAAGACCCCCCAAAGCTACAAAACCCCAGACTAACCAGGAAGTAGGCAAAGGAAGCCAGTCAGCATTTCACTGGGGTCATTCCTGGCCTGGGCACCATGATGGTAGCTGCCTACAGCCTGGCCTGCTTCTCACCCTTGAGTGGGAGGATCCTCATGTGGGAGCTCCCCCTGCAGGTGTTCTGCACCCATGTGCGTGAGGGTCATTTCCTCTCCTGCACTGTGCTGGGCGGTGGTAAGGGAATCTGGCCAAGGCCAGTCAGTGAGGGAGTGGCCGAGCCTGGGGTTTGAGCCAAAGTGTCCTCACAGAAAGGGGTGCCCCAGCCTTGGGTGCAGAACCCTGGTCTCCCTCCCTAGAGCTGCAGGCTGGAGCCTGGAGAGCCCCAGGAGTAGATGTGAAGGCTGACAGGGAGGGCAGAGGAGAGGGACAGGACTCCCTGTAGGGAGCAGCTACAGGCAGACCACCACCCTAGGAAGATCTGAAAGAAAGCAGAGCAGACTGCTCGCCTCCCAGCCACATCCTGCAGGGGCATCTCCCGAAGACCTGGTGTGAGCCCCAGCCCAGCCCCAGGTCTGTGAGTCCCCCCAGCAGGCACCTCCTTCAACCAGTGCACAAGCAGGGCCAAAACGGTTCATGGTCCCACTGCCTCCTGACAACTGGGGAACCCTGGCCACCTCCTGCCACCCTAGGCCTCATTGTCCCCACCAGATATGAACTGTGATCGTTTGCTTTCAAGGCTGATTTTCTTGATGACAGAGTTGGGCCCTTTCTCCCTGTTTGTTTTTGTTTTTTGTTTTTTGAGAAAGGGTCTTGCTATGTAGTTCAGCCTGGTCTTGAACTCACTGTGTAGTCCAGGCTGGCCTCAAACTCTGGGCAATCCTCCTGCTTCGGCCTCCCAAGTGCTGGGATACAGGTGTGTGAGCAGGCCCAGGCCCATAGCTAATTCCTCTCTCTGCTTTGCAGGTGAGGGCTCAGAGTACGGTGCCAGCGGGGAGGACGCCCTTAGCAGGATTCAGAGGCTGATGGCGGAGGGGGGCATGACGGCCGTGGTGCAGCGGGAGCAGAGCACGACCATGGCTTCCATGGGTGGCTTCGGCAACAACATTATCGTCAGCCACCGCATTCACCGCAGCTCCCAGACGGGCACGGAGTCGGGGGCTGCCCGCACCTCCTCTCCCCAGCCCTCCACGTCCCGGGGACTGCTCCCGGAACCCACGCAGCTGTCAGAGCGCAGCCTCGGCCCCCGGACAGCCTCCTGGGACCAGCCCAGCACCTCTGGGCAGGAGCCGCCCCAGCCAGCCCTGCCCTCTTCCTCCCCTGTCCCCCTTCCCAGCACAGAGGGACCAGCCCTGCACTGCGACCTGACCAATAACAACCATCTTCCCGATGGCGGCCGCGGCAACAGGGGGGAGGCCGCCAGCCCCAGCGGGGAGCCCCGGAACAGGTAGAGTGCTAGAGCCGCCCCTGCCCCGGAGCCGCTGACAGGAGCCGGACCTCACAGCTGAGGGGAACTGTACACAGCCCAGTGGCCGCAGCTGGGAGCAGCGGGAACCGGAGGGCGGCGGTGGAGACAGGGCAGGAGGCAGCTGATTGGCAAAGCTCGCCAGCGCGGGAGCCCAGAAGAGCCATGCTGTGGGGCCGCTGTGAATGGAGGAGCGAGTGGGTGTCTCTGCTGTGGACCCTCTTTCTCCCAGGATTGTGGGCTCAGGGGACGCAGGCCTGGGCAAGGGGCCCAGAAGAGTGAACTGTCTTCCAATCCGGGGTACTCGGCCCTGGGCCTGTCGGCTGGGCGGAGCCACCTGGAGAGGAGATGTCTGGAGGATCCGCGCCTCTCCAGCCCTGTGGGGCTCTCCCCGTCTCATCCCCAGGGACAGTCGGGTGGGCGGGGCTCCCACTTACTCATGGGGGACAGTGGGGCGAGGTGGGCCCTCAGGAGTGGGGTGCAGGCTGGCCCGCCCCCGGGCCTGCCCGCCGCTCCTCCCGCAGCCACAGGGCAGCGCGCCTGACGCCCTGACGCCTGGCTGTCGGTACCTGAGCCCAGGCCCAAGCCCAAGCCCGCCCAAGGCTTCGGCAGGGCTGCGACTCCAGGTCAGAATGTGAGGTCTTGGTCTGTGATTTAAAGTGTTGCATGTGGAATCTTGAACTGTATGTGTAGTTTCTAGAGGAAAAATCAAGGCTATGATCTTTTTGTTTTCAGTATGAAATTGTGATTTCCTTTCTGTTTGTCATTCATCTTAGACACATTGTGGTGGGAGGAGAGGGGATGGTCTACTGCTAATGAGGGAAACACCAAAGATCTACATCATTAAAATGACCCCATGCCCCTCGATAGGCTTCTGTCTGTCTCCATGGCGGGGGGGATGGGGATGGAGGCCCTGAGCTGGCTGCTGGGGCACTTTGATGGCGCTGCCCTCTTAGTGGGCATCGTCCGACCCTGGCCTGAGAAGTCTGGTAAGGTTGGGGGAGCTGGGTTCTGCTTGCAGGCTCCCCAAAGGCACTGCTGGCTCAGGTCTGCCTTCACTCTGGCCCTGTTGTCCGTGGGACATGGCTTCTCTAAATCCCAGGCTGGCTTAGAAAGGCACAATGGGCCCAACTCTCAGGGAGTTGCTTGCATAGTGGAAAACCAGAGCAGCCACAGGCTTCTGGCTAGCAGCAAGAGCTCCATGAGCTCTTTTTTTTTTTTTTGAGACAGGGTCTCACTGTGTAGCTCAGGCTGGGCAATCCGCCTGCCTCAGCCTCCCAAGGGCTGGGATTACAGGTGTGCACCACCACAGCCAGCTCCCATGAGTATCTTTTGTATGCCCAACCCTACCCCAAATGCTGTGGCGTGTGCAGGATTACAGTTCTGTCCCAGAGTAGACAAAACCAAGAGAGAAATTGGCAAACAAGTGGTACAAAAGTGTGCAAGGTTACGTAGTTAAGAACACTTGGGCCGGGGATTTAGCTCAGTGGTTCTGCTGCCTGCCTCAAAAGCGCAAGGTCCTGAGTTTGAGCCCTGCTACCAAAAAAAAAAAGAACACTCGGGTTTTCTAGAAAGTCTTTTATATCTGTGGAGCAAGGGCTAAAAGACATCAGCTAACTGTGTGACCTTGGGTGAGCCACTGCCCTTTGCTGAGCCTCACTGTCCCTTGCAGTGTCCCTCAGGGCTCACACAAGGCAACTTTTTGAAGCTCCTATTAGCTCTGTAGTCTGAATCGCTCACACCCAGACAGCACAGAGTGAGGTGGGCAGGCTCTGGTAAGAGCTGGAGGCCAGAAGAGAGCACCCGTTCCTTGCCTTCCTGCTCTCCTCCAAGGGAAGCCGCCGCCTTGGCTTGACAGTGGGTTGTTGGTCCATTGAGTGTAAGCCGAGTGTGGAGGACTCGGTGTGCATCATCTCCCCTTGCAAAGCCCTCGAAAGCAGTTCCTGCTGATCCCCAGGCTGCACACCCCACTGGGAGAACCTGGCTTGAACCCAGGTAGGGTTTGGTTGCATAGCACACCCTGCGGCCACCATAACTTGGACAGAAGGCACAGGAGGGGCAGAATGGGGCCTTTGCTTGCTCTGTGGTGGTTTTGGGAACAGGTATGAGGAGGCCTTGGAGATGTGGTGGACCAGCTCGTCCTGCCTGACCCACCCCTGCTGGTTCTGATCAAGCACAGACCCATTGTCCACACCTGTCTGTCCCCACACCAACAGTGGGAAAGCCTTCATAGAGACATTACCTGCAAGGGCGGGGTGGGGTCAGCGGCCAGAGACAGCGAGCACTTTGGAGATGAGGAAACATTCAGAAAAGTCCTACAGCAGGCCCAGCAAATCCACCGAAGAGCACAGAGTAAACCAGGTTTCCTGCTTCCAACACAGCACTCCAGGGTTCCACTGTGGGTTCTGAGGTCACAGGGTAGGGAGGTGAAAGACCACGGCAGGGATCTTAGAGACATGAGTGGCCTTGCCTGGCAGCTTCTGGGATTGCTCAGGACAGCAAGTGGATGGTCCTGGTTTCTGGGGCCTGCAGGCCTCACCCTTGCTGGTTTTCCCATCCGACCCGCAAAGGTTCTGCGCCCCCTAGGCCACTCTCCGAGAGCACCCTCCTGCTGGGCCCTCGGAGGGATGTGCCATTGTCACACACACAGACCGAGGCTCCTTCTCCTCTGTGAAGTGGGCCAGAACAATGGTGCCGCTTTCGCCCTCAGGAGGATCATGGGAGACAGCTGGCTCGGGTAAGGGAAGATGGCTTCTCAGACAGCCCAGCCAGCCTGCTCTGGCCTCGAAGTTCTCGGTCTTGACCAGACAGCCCTGGCACCCGGGCGCACTGGGTACCTGACCTCCAACTCCCCTTCAGCACGGAGAAGCCCGCGCCGAGCCCCCGCAGCGCTGGCTGGGCTCAGCTCCCGCCTCTTCTCCGCCTTCCCCTGCGCCCCCCGCCGGCCCTGGGGGAGGAGAGGAGGGCGGGACTTGCTTGTTTTTCCGAGCCCTGACCCCAGCCACCTTTGAGGTTAACCGGCCGCCTGGGCTCTGAGGGCTGGGGCGCGCGGTCCGCTGCAGCCCGGCCGGGTGGCGCTCTCCGAGGTCCTGAAGTCGCCCCCCTCAGCTGCGCGCAGGCTGGGCCTGGCACGCGGAGCCCGCGAGAGGTGCGGCTCCCGAGACCTGGGCCCCCCTCAGCTGCGCGCAGGCTGGGCCTGGCACGCAGAGCCCGCGAGAGGTGCGGCTCCCGAGACCTGGGCGGCTGGCCGCTTGCCCTCGGGGATTCGTCCCGGGCCGGTCCCGGGGTACCTGGCTTCCCCTCCGAGGCAGCGATGAGCCCGCTCTGCACGGCGCGGCGGGGTGGGCGGCGCTCTCAGTCCTGGGGCCCGCGGGGCGCGGGGCGCGGGCGGGGAAAGGGCGCTGTCCGCGCTGCCGGCTCCACCCCGAAGACCCTCGCCAGCCCAGACCTCGCTTTCCCAGGCCCCGACGGCGCCTTCCCGTCTGCTGCTCCGCGGCCAACGCGCGGCCCTAGGATGCCCCGACGGAACCGTGGGGCTGAGCGCACCCCACGCACCCACAGCCTCCTGTTGGGGTCAAAGCCTTGCGCCCGCGGCCCAACGACAAGCAGGGCTACGTATGGGAGTGAAGTCCCCCCAAAGCACAAAAACGTTTGGGGTTCAAGGTGCGTGGTCCGGGCGGAGGCGTGGTGCGTACGGGACCCGGCCGCCTGCTTCCTCCCTAGCCCGGGAGGGGGCGCCTTGTCCCCATGACAACGCGGACACCCGCATCCCTGGAGGGCAGCGCTCCCCGCTACCGGCGCCTGCCACTGTTGGAGCTGCCGCGCCCGAGACGGGACATGCCCGCCGGCACCGAGGAGGGCCACGGGCCGCCGGGGTCCTCGACGCCCCGGGTGGTGACCCCCGCCCGTCGCCGCTGGGTGACCGGCTGGGGCGGGCAGCGCGGTCCCTCCGCGATTGGCTGCTTCCCCGTGACATCACGCGGCTCGGGGAAAAGTGCGAGCGTGAGCGCGAGTCGGAGCCACAGCGCCGGAGCCGCAGGCGGAGCAGGGGCCGCCCCTCCGCCCCGGCCCCGTCCCGCCCCTGGCCCGGCCGGGCCCGCGGGCTCCGCGTCCGTGCCGCCGTCTGGCCGGCTGTCCGGGCCAGTGCAGCGGGCGCGCGGCGGTGAGTGACTCCGCGGCGCGCGGGGGCGGGGACTCAGGAGAGGAGGACGCGGGTCCCGGGACCCCTGCGGGTCCCCAGAGCTGGGTCCGACGGGGACCGGGCTGACGGCCTCAGGGGCGGGCGCGGGGCGGGGGACCAGAGGCCCCGCGGCAGGGTCCCCGCAGGAAGAGGCCGAGGTCTGGAGCTTTCTTCAGGTGGCCTCTAGGAAAAGATGCCGTGGGGACCGGGCCAGAGGGGCGCCCACCCCGAGCGGCCCCGGGGTCGCCCTGCGTCGGGACCCGCTCACCAGTCCCCCCGCAGTCAGCAGGGCGCAGGCCCCGGAGCCCGGAGAGCCTTTCCCGCCCGTCTCCCCGCCCCCTTCTCCCGGGCGCCGCGGGGCTGCCAGCCCTCTCCAGCGCCCCAAGTCCTCCATTGGCGACCTTGAGCCCCAACGACGACGGAAGGCGCCCCCGCCCTTTCTGCTCCCGCCCCCGCCGGCACCAGCCCCGCTCAGCCGGGTTCCGAGCCCCCACCCGGGCCTCGGGGCGGAAGCGCGGCACGAGGTCAGGCCGAGTCCCCGCGCCCCTCTCCCTCCCGAAACTCTGGACTCTCCTCTCCCGAGCCGCGGATAGATCCAGAGCCTACAGCCTCGCTCCCCAGATCCCCGGGGTGACGGCCTCGAAGCCGGAGATCTACGCCCCAAACGGCCCGCCAGGCGCCCGAGCCCCAGGTCGGGTCGGGGAGGGCAGGGGCTCAGGCCCCGAAAGCCGGGTGCCCACGCCCAGGGTGCTGACGGCGGGGCGCCGGGGAGACAGGGGCCCCCAACCCGTCAGAGACGCGGACGAGCCCTCGGCAGCCCCCAGGCCACCTGGACCGAGGGCCGGAAAACCAGCCCGCGCCTACTTGGATCGCGGGGCAGCGGGAGGTTGAGGAGGGCAGGAATCTTGCACTCGGAGCCTCCCTGTGATGGGCGTGTGGCCCCTGCCCTGTCCCCTCGGGGAGGCCGAGACCGGAGCCCAGCGACCCCCAAGGCTGGGCGAGCATCGAAGCGGCCCCGGCAGAAGTCGGTCCGAGGCCGCATCCACACCGCCTCCTTGAAGGCGCGCGAGACACCTGGCTCCCGGCTAAGACCATGCAGTCAGGGGTCAAGTCAGCAGTTAGGGGTCCTTCGCAGCCTGAAGTGTCCCCACCCCCAGGCCACGGGCGGTCAGGCGAAGCCAGGTCTGGGCTGAGCCTCCGCCCTGGGCGTGGGGATGTGGCCCGGGCCTCGAGGTCGCCTGCGTGTGCTCATGTGCACGGGTTCACAGGTGCAGCACCCGAACTGCGTGCGTCCCCCGCGGGGGCCACCGCAGCCCGGGCACGCACACGCATGCACACGCACGTGTCCACGCGGGCGGCATGCTCACGCGCTCCCCGCGCACTGGTATCCAGGCGGGGCCATGCACACACGCACATGCAGGCAGCTACGAGCGTCTACTCGCGCTCCCGGGCACTCACACACAAACACAACTCGCACTCGCCGCTCTCCCACGCGATCCTCGCAGGGTGCCGGGTGGAATCCGGGCACCCTAAACTTTCTCACACTTGAACCCGCGCAGAGCGGAAAGCGGCTTCCCGGCGCCCAGGGCGGGTTCTGGCGATGGGTTCCCGTTTCCTCCGGGAGAAACCCAGCCTGGAGCCTCTGTGTTTGTGGACACCCTGGAGTTGGGGGCGGTGGTGAAGGGCGGCCGCCCGCTCCGGTCGGGAGCTGGCACCCGGGAACCGACATTGCCATCTAGTGGCGCGCGCGGCCCTGGCCGGGGTTGCAGCCACCGCAGATGCCCGCCGGGCCTCACACCGGTGGGCTGCGGTCCGAATCTCTGCGGGGACCCGGAAGGCACCAGAAGGCCAGCTGGGCCAGAGCTGGGCCGGAGCTGGGGAGCCTGAGCCTGCCCTGACCCAGGCGGAGGGCTCGACTACCCGCCGCTTACTTTGCTGCTTTCTTGTTTGGACCCAGTTTGTCCTCGTGGAGAACAGGAGAGCTCCTGTCGTGGGAAAGCTAAGTGGAGGGCCTCCCCCAGCCGCACCTGGGTCGTTTTGGGAGGGGCAGAGGTGGGACATTTCAAGTACCTTGGATGGAGTTAAGGTGGCTCTGGGTTCTAATTCTGCTCCCACCCCTGCTTATAAATGGGGTGACTTCGGGCCAGTCAATTAGCATTTTCCTCTAGAGGATATTTACACCTGTAAGATGAGGCTGAGTAGTCCCTACCTTTCCCTTTGGGGCGCTTGCAATCTTATACAGAAGCTTCAGGGGGGTCCTGATTCAGATTAACACTAAATAACAGAGACCTGTTATGTTTTCACACTCCGTCCTCCTTGAACCCTGCAGCCAGTGTCCTGGCCCTGGGAAGCCCTGGCTGACAGATCACCCTGACCCTGCACCCCGAGCCTGGGGGAGGGCAGCCTCTCCACTTGCATGCTTCTGCCCTTCTGGTTCAGGGGGTGACACTTTGTTTTGTTGTTTTGTTTTTCCTTGTACCAGGGATTGAACTCAAGACCTTGCGCTTGCGAGGCAGGCAAAGCACCACTGAGCTAAACCCCCAGCCCTTTTGTTTTGTTGTTTTGAGACAGAGCCTCACTGCACAAGTCAGGCAAGCCTTGAACTCACTTATGTATTCCAGGCTGGCCTCAAATGAGACAGTCTTCCTGCCTCAGCCGCCCGAGGGGTGGGATGACAGGTGTGCAGCACCACGCCTTGCTAAGGGTGACACTGAAGTTTCCATTTAGGGGCCTCTCTGAGCTAAACCAAGTGGTAGAGTCCCTGGAGAGGGGGCCTTGTCTGCCCTCCGCCCTTGACACTCAATGTGACCTTGGGGATGGCTGCTCAGCTTCTCCTGTGACCCAATATTTGGAACAGAACTTGAACTCAGAACGGGAGGCCGGGTCCCTGTCTGTGATGGTGGATAGGGCCTGGGGCCACTGGGCACATGGCTGGGACCTCACAGCGAGGTTCGGGTCTGACAGCTGCTCAGAAGGTCGCCTCGGGGCAGGATCATCCACTTTGCAGATGGGCAGGTGGCTTCCTCAGGCCGGGCCCTGCCAGGCCTGGACTAGGTGCCTTCTTCCATGCCGGCTGCCAGGCCGCTTTCCTCTTTCACACACACAGATGCACACAAGTGCGTCCGAGGCTGAGTGTGGCTGAGATGGGGCCGTGTGCGTATGTGATGGCGTGTGTGTTGGCGGGTGTGAAGGAGGCTGGGCTGAGCGGCTGCCCTGGCACTGCGCTGGGCGTGGGCCTGGCTCACATGTACGGAAGAGGAAGAGGAGGAGGAGAGCCGAGGTGTGGGCAGAGGGCAGGCTGGGGGGGGGGTCCTTGGGCTGGGCCCCACCGGGGGCGCCTGCATCCGTGTGCAGTGTGGGGAGTGGAAGGGCAACCCGCAGCCCTCTCCTCCCTCTGGGACAGTCTTTTCATCTTTGGGGTTCCTTGCCCACCCTTGGGGACCCCCCTGACACTGGGGAAGTCATTCAGGCCCTTACTTGAGTTTTGCATTTTTGCCTTGCTGGGGGTTGAACCCACGGAGCACTGAGCTACAGCCCCAGCCCTTTTTATTTTGAGACAGCCTCACTATGTAGCCCAGGTAGGCCTCCACCTCCAGAGTGGCTGTACTACAGGTGTGGACCACCACACCTGGCTTCTGGTTGCTCAGGGGTCTGAGCCCCGCGGTTCAGAGAGCTCCAGGGTCCCTTGGCATTGCACATCCCATTCCATGCTCTGGGCTGGAGGTGAGGGCAGGGAGGTCAAGGCCTTCTCTTTCTCTCCTCCTGCTCCTGCTCCTCCCCTGCCCCGGTGGTCCCCTGGGGATCCCCCTCCACCTTGGAAGGCGAGTTCAGGGCTCCATGACCTCCCTCTGCCAGAAGCCTTACTTAGGGGCCTGCTCTGCCCCGACCCCAGCAACAGGATGGCAAAGAGCTGCGGGACCTTGGCTGGGTTAACAGTGCCTGTGAGTAGTAAACACTGCCGGCTTCCCAGGTGCTGCAGGGCGCACTCCACTAACACTGTGAGCAGTGGAGAGTCCTGGGCCTTGGGAGGTAGCAGATGTCGACTCTGATGTATGCTTTCCTATCTTTGCCTGTCTCCAAGGTAGGATGGAGCGCAGGTCCTTGGTGATGTTGCTTGGGGCTGGGGCCATAGCTCGGTGGTGCAGCACTCGCCTGCCATGAGCAGGGCCATGGGTTCCATCCCCAGTGCCACACAGGCATACAGGGACACACACACCGAGAGACTGAGTGGGAGGATGAATGGGAGCCCTCTGGCCACTCGGCCCCTCCCCTTCCCCAGCCCTTCCTGGGCTCCACCCACACTGGCCTGATGGGGGCCTTTGCTGTTTTGGGGGGTTGTTGTTTTTTTGAGATAGGGTCTTGCTGTGTAGCCCAAGCTGGCCTCAACTTTGAAGCAATCCTCCTGCCTCAGCCTTCCAAGTACTGGGACTCCAGGCATGTGTCCCCAGGCCTTTGCTCTTGCCATTGTCTTTTGACTTGGCCACTCTCTTCGACACTTCCTGTGTCTGCCTCCTTGTTGTCGCCAGCATCACCTGCCTGACACTTTTTTTTTTTTGCAGTACCAGACATCAAACTCAGGACCTTGTGTTTGCAAGGCAGGCATGGTGCCACTGATCTAAGTCCCCGGCCCACTTTTTTTTTTTTTTGGTACCGGGGATCGAACTCGGGTCCTTGCACTTGTGCAGCATGCGGCAAAACCACTGAGCTAAATCCCCGGCCTTCTTTTTTTGAGACAAGGACTTATTATGTAGTTCAGGCTGGCCTTAACTTACTGAGTAGCCCAGGCTAACTCATGGCAATCCTCCTGCCTCAACCTTCCTGAGTGCTGGGATCACAGGTGTGCACCACCATGCCTGGCCCTGGGCCTGACATTTTTCCTGATAACCCAGCATTAAACCATCCCCTTGCGGTCTTCTGACTCACTCTTCCTACCCTCATCCTGCCTCCCCCCCCCTCCCGCCTTCATGCTGAGGGTTGAATTCGGCCTGGAGCATGCTGGGTAAACTATCCCTTATTTTCTTTCTAGTGCTTTTTCTGTTGTGCACACGTTTCTGTGCCCTCTGGGCTGGGCTCTGCATTTCCTGTCCTGTTATCCCAGCGTGAGAATGGTGTCAGGCACCTGGCACTGGGTACCTTGGTACCCGTAACTGCCCAATGGAGGCACAAATGAGTGTGCAGGACATTGCTCTGTGGCTGACTTGGTTTCCCTCCACACTGCCCCATCCTCTCCAGAACTTCAGCACCTTCTTCTCTCCTTCCTCCTCCAGCCCCTGCCACCCTGTTGCCCACTCCCCAACATGGCGGACTTCACACCAGTCAACGGCAGCTCAGGCAACCAGTCCGTGCGCCTGGTCACCTCGGCCCACAATCGCTACGAGACCGTGGAGATGGTGTTCATCGCCACGGTGACGGGCTCACTGAGCCTGGTGACTGTCGTGGGCAACATCCTGGTGATGCTGTCCATCAAGGTCAACAGGCAGCTGCAGACGGTCAACAACTACTTCCTGTTCAGCCTGGCGTGCGCAGACCTCATCATAGGCGCCTTCTCCATGAACCTCTACACTGTGTACATCATCAAGGGCTACTGGCCCCTGGGCGCCGTGGTCTGTGACCTGTGGCTGGCCCTGGACTACGTGGTGAGCAACGCCTCTGTCATGAACCTCCTCATCATCAGCTTCGACCGCTACTTCTGCGTCACCAAGCCCCTCACCTACCCCGCCCGGCGGACCACCAAGATGGCTGGGCTCATGATCGCCGCCGCCTGGGTCCTGTCCTTTGTGCTCTGGGCGCCTGCCATCTTGTTCTGGCAGTTTGTGGTGGGGAAGAGGACAGTGCCCGACAACCAGTGCTTCATCCAGTTCCTATCCAACCCAGCGGTGACCTTTGGCACGGCCATCGCAGCCTTCTACCTGCCTGTGGTCATCATGACGGTGCTGTACATCCACATCTCCCTGGCCAGTCGCAGCCGTGTCCACAAGCACCGGCCCGAAGGCCCCAAGGAGAAGAAGGCCAAGACGCTGGCCTTCCTCAAGAGCCCGCTGGTGAAGCAAAGCGTCAAGAAGCCCCCGCTGGCTGGAGCGGCCCGCGACGAGCTTCGAAACGGGAAGCTGGAGGAGGCCCCGCCACCGGCCCTGCCGCCACCACCACGCCCCGTGGCCGACAAGGACACCTCCAACGAGTCCAGCTCGGGCAGCGCCACCCAGAACACCAAGGAACGCCCCCCCACGGAGCTGTCTACCACAGAGGCCGTGCCCGCCCCTGCCCTGCAGCCGCGGACCCTCAACCCGGCATCCAAGTGGTCCAAGATCCAGATAGTGACGAAGCAGACAGGCAATGAGTGTGTGACAGCCATCGAGATCGTGCCCGCCACGCCTGCCGGCATGCGCCCGGCGGCCAATGTAGCCCGCAAGTTTGCCAGCATCGCTCGAAACCAGGTGCGCAAGAAGCGGCAGATGGCGGCCCGGGAGCGCAAAGTGACGCGGACCATCTTTGCCATCCTGCTGGCCTTCATCCTCACGTGGACGCCCTACAACGTCATGGTCCTGGTGAACACCTTCTGCCAGAGCTGCATCCCCGACACGGTGTGGTCCATTGGCTACTGGCTCTGCTACGTCAACAGCACCATCAACCCCGCCTGCTACGCGCTCTGCAACGCCACATTTAAAAAGACCTTCCGGCACCTGCTGCTGTGTCAGTACCGGAACATCGGCACCGCCAGGTAGGCGGGCGGGCGAGCCCAGGAGGTGCTGGTGTCACGTGGGCTGGGGGACCACGTGACGGAGGCCCCGTTCCACGTTCCCGTTTGCTGCAGAGGATGGAGGCTCAGGAAGTGGCTCTGGCTGGATTTCGAGACCAGATCCCTGCTCAGGACCTGGAGGCTCGGCCCAGGGACCCTGTCTGTCCCTCCGCCTCAGGAGGCTGGGGACATTGGCTGGGGTGTGCAGCGGCCCCATGGTAGCCAACCAGCCACAGAGCAGGAAGGATGGACACGTGGAGGAGAGCAGAGGGGTCAGGCTCGGAAGGATGGAAGGGTGGGTTCCCCATTCTGCTGTGATCGGTGCTTTCTGCCTTCCTGCCCCCCGCATGTAGGCTCAGTCCCTTTCCCCAAACCCCATGCAGGGGCACCTGCAGCTGCTCAGCCGAGCTCTGGGGGCCACTGTGTGTGGGGAGTGCAGGCTGTATGCACCAGGCCCCGCACCTCCCCTCCCCTCCCCCTCATCTAGCCAGGTCTGGGAGGTGATGAAGGACTCCCCTCCCTCTGCCAGGCCCAGGTGAGGGCTCCCAGCTGCACTTCTGCCTCCTCCCGCACCGCTGCAGGTCTGAGAAGTTGGGGACCCACACAGGCCTCGGCGGAACTTCCTGCCTGGCAGTGGCTGGACCGGGAGGCTCCTGTCCTGGTGAGACTGAGTCTCAGTGAATTATGGGTCCCTTCCCCAGGCGGGTGGGTTCTCAGGAGAGAAGACTGAACAACTTAGGGAGACAGACAGGGGACCCTTTCAGGGGCCCCGACGACATTCCTTCATCAGTGTTCTGCTTTCCCACAAGCCGGCCCCGGGGAGCGCACATTCACCAAGCCCTGAGCCCCTTAAGCCCACCAGTCCCCACGGCTGTCCCTCCCCTCAAAGCTGCACAGCACTCTGGGAAGGGGCTTTTATATATCGAAAAGAAAAGCTTTTAGTGGGAAAGAAGTTCACTCGTTTTATTCATTTCTTAGTAACAGGGTGGTGAGGAAGAACAAAGGGGGCACTGGGAATCGAAAACGGGGGGTGGGTGTATAGCTCAGTCGTTCCACCGCCTGCCTTGCAAGCACAAGGTACCAAGTTCGATCCTGGGTACCAACAACAAAAAACCTGGGGGGCACATCCCAGAATCCCTTGCGCCTCCCCACTTGGGCACTTGGGTGGGTGGGGGTGCAGGTGAGAGGCATGATTGATAAAGCTAGAGTAGAAAAGGCACTGGTGGGCGGTGTCACGGGCCTTCAGTCGGCAGGGGGCGGCTAGGCCCCTAATAAAGCAAGGGGATCCTCAGCCATCCCAGCGCGGCTCAATCCTTTCCTTTCCCTTTCTTGGCTGTAAAACAAGATAGAAACACGATGTTAGCCGGGTCCTGGCGACCTAGGAGAAAGCCCCCCACCCTGCCCCAGGGCATTGAGGAGAAAATCCTTCACCCTAGTGATGTTCTTTCTCAATTTTTTTTGTGAGGTACTGGGGACTGAACCCAGGGCCTTCACAGAAAGGCACGTACCCAACCCTTTTTTATTTTGAGACAAGGTCTTGCTAAGTCACTAAGCTGCCCAGGTTGGGCTCAGACTTTAGATGCTCCTGCCTCAGCCTTCTGGTGTGCTGGAATTACAGGCCTACACCCTCACACCAAGCCTCCCTATGGACTTTCCATGAGCTGGCCCGGAAGCAGGTGAGACAGGCCCTTTCAGTCAACCTCCACCGTGTATATTCATTCACCCAGGATCAGAGCTTCCAGGTTCCTGACTGGGCAGTGGGCAGATCTGCCCGCCTCTGGCCCTGGAAGCCCTTCCCATCTAAGGGCAGAGGGGACCACGTGCTCCCCCCTGCTGGAGAAAGACCCACACAAAGCTCTCCCTGGTCCCGCCCCAGAGGCTGTTCCAGAGCCGGGACACTGGTGTGGAGATGTGCGGGTTTCGCCGCTGCCCTCGGGTGGGGCGGCCCCTGCGACCCCACTCCGCGCCCACCTTTGGCCTTGGCTTTGGTCTTGGGCGTGCAGGGCTTCGTCACGCGGATGGTCTCCTGGCACTGGGCATTGTACCGCGCCTTCTTCAGGGTGCCCTGGCGGGCTTTGGTGCCGGTGGCCCCATCGCACCCGCCCCAGCTCTCGAACTTGTACTTGCAGTCGGCTGGCGGAGAGAACTGGGTCAGAGCGTGCCCAGGTCTGCGCGGCCGCCCCTCCCGGCCCGCCGTCCCTCACCTCCGAACTCCTTCTTCCAGTTGCAGGGCACCCGGCAGCGCACGCGCTGAGTCTGCGCCCCGCAGGTGCCCTCGCGGAGGCCCGCGCCGCAGTCCTTGCTGCTGGGGACGCAGGGGCCCCAGGTCCACTCGGCGCACTCGCTGCCAGCGCCGCCCTTCTTGGCCTTGTCTGCGGGGCCGGGACAGAGCTCAGGACGAGGGCGCCGGGAGCTCCCCCTCGGGGTCCCCAGCACCCCTACCCCTCACCTTTCTTTTTGGCCACCGCGGAGGGCAGCGCCAGCAGGGCGAGCAGGGCGAGCAGGAGGAAGGCTCGGTGCTGCATCCTGGGGGACAGCGGCGTCAGTTTCTCGCCCGTCCTCTTCCCCACGGGGACCTCACCCGCGCCCCCACTCTCCAGCCCTCTTCCCTCCTCCGGTGGGTCGGGGCGCAGCGCGGCGCGAGCAGGGGGTCCCCGGGCGGCAGCCTGCGCTCACTCGCTCGCGGCCCGCGCAGTTCACGCCCTCCCACGCCAGCCTGGCCCAGCCCGTCCCGGCCCAGCCCGTCCCGACTCGTCCGGCTCCGGCCACCCCAACGGCCCCTTTTGTCTCCAGAACCGGTCTGAGCCGGTCACATGGGCCCGCCCCTCCCCCCCCCCCGCACCGCCCCGACCCCGACGTCCCTGCTCCGCCCCGCTGGCGCTGGGCCTCGCCCCGTCGCGCACCCAGCCGATTACCGTCTCCCGCCGAAGGTCGGGGTCCCCGGTCCTCGGCCCCCTCCCCAGCCCGATCTCAGGGTCTCTCTCCCCCGCCCTCTGCCCCTTCCAGCGCGCGCCCCCTCGCGGAGCCATGGATGGATGGATGGGGCAGCAGGGGCGCGGAGCCTCTCGGGGGGTCACCCGCTCTCCTGGGGTCACCGGAGCGTGGGCCCAGACCCCACCTGGGCTCGAGTTCCCGAGGGCCACGGGCTCGTGGCTGCGTGGGGTGCCGGGACCCCGGAGAAAGCGCCCAGGTGGCGGCGGAAGGGCGCACGCGCCTCTGCAAGTGCAGGTTGGAGGGGCGGAGGGAGAGGAGGAGGGGCCGAGCTGGGGGACCCGAGCCGCAGAGAAGTTCCAGACCCCACCGGGCTGCTGCACCCTCCTCCTCCCTCCGGTCTGGGCTGCGTGGCGCACCCGTCCGACCCCACAGCTCCGGGGAGGGGCTAGGGGCTGCCCCTGTCCCACCTCTTCCACTCATTGTTGTCCCAGCCGGAGCGGGAATCGGGAGCTCGGCTCCGCCCTTCGGCCCCAGAAGCCCGCCGTGGGCAGAGGTCAGGAGCCGGGCGGGCCCAGCCCCCCCCCCCACGCCCACTCCCACTCCTCGACCAAGGATAACCAGGCCGCCGAATCCTCCGCTTCTGGAGGACCCCCCCCCCGGGGGGCGGGGGAAGAAAAAGCCAGAAGGAAAAAAGAAATCCACTTTACTGAGTCACACCCAGTTGTAAACATGTCTCACCGAGACACCCCCCCCCCCCCGCTCCACAGTCCACGCCAAAACGCTGGGTACACGGGAGGGTCACCAGGGGCAGTGCCAAGCAGGGCAGCGGGCAGGCGAACGCAGCAGGCGATTTCCGGGAGGCGCCGGGGAGGGTGGTGGGAGCAGAAGGGCTGAGCTCCCAGGGCACAGGCTCGGGCCCTGGGGACCAGGTGGCCAGCGGAGCCTCCTCCGGAAGCCCGGCGCCCTGCCTGGGCCGTCCCATCCCGGCCCCCGGGGCGCATCTGCCGGGCTGAGGGCGAGGCTGTCCTGCAGTGGCCCTGCCCGTCGGGTTCCTGCTCCCTGTAAGCCTGGGGGGCAGGCGGGGGCCTCAGAGGGGACTGGTGACAGCCCCAGCTGCGCAGAGTCCAGCCTCGTCATCAGGCCGCTCCTTCCTTGGAGGGGTCCCCCTCCTCTGCCCGCACTGGAATGTAGCCGGAGGCCGGGGCTACACGGCCGTCTCCTGGTCCTCGCGTTGGATCATCTGGTAGTGCTGTCGGTTCTCCAGGTAGGCGGCCAGCTCTGTGTCCTGCGCCTTCTCGGCCCGCTGCCGGGCGGTGTCACCCTGGGAACGGAGGAAGCTGCGATCAGGTATCCCCGAGGGCACCGGAAGCCTTCCGGCTCAGGTCTCAGGGTCTGGGCTGTGTTGGCTGAGGACAGCTTCAAACTCCGAAGGGTGGCCCAGTGCCCCCTGCCCCTGGGAGAGGCTGCTCACCTGCTGGTCTGTCTTCATGAGCGACGCCCCTGCTTCCACGATGAAGTGGCAGATGGTGCGCTGGCCCAGGGCTGCCGCCTGATGCAGACAGGTCTCCCCACTGGGGGAGAGGGGCTGGCTGTGGACCCCACGAAGGCCTTCTGGAGGCCATCAGCAGCAAGGGCTGGAAGTTCGGGACTGGGGAATGGGGCAGCCCAGAGAGCAGTCTGGCCAGGGAGGGTTCATGGGCTCCGACTGACCAAACGGGAGGAAGTGGAAGCAGAGGGGCGGTTTCAGGGTGACCAGGGCTCCAAGATACTCACTTCTCCTCCACCGCATCGAGGATCTCCGGGGGCGCTGCAGAGGGAAGAGGTGGTCAGAGGCTGGCAGCCCTGCCCCCCATACCTGGCCTCAGGCGCTGGCGGGCTCACCGTGGTCCAGCAGGTAGCGGACCACTTCCTTGCTGCCTGCGCTGACTGCGTGGTGCAGGAGCGTACGACCTCGTGAGTCCCGGTGCAGGAGGTCCCCTCCAGCTCGGTGCAGCTCCTGCAGCTGAGGGGAGAGAAGAGGGCTGGGTCTCCTGGGGGCGCCCTTTGCTCAGCCCACAAGCCCACAGGCGTGTAGACCGGCAGAAGCTGAGACACACCACACCCCAGGGCCCTGGCAACCGAGCCTGGAGTCTGGTTCCTCCAGGCCCTGCCCCCTTCTGAGTACCAGCACAGCTGGTCTAGGAGCCCCAGACAGCTGGGGCCAGGTGGGATGGGACCTGAGGGCGCCCCAGGGACAGCTGTCAGTGCCTAGCATGTTGCCACCCCCCAGGGTGAGGGCTGTACCTTACAGAAGTCATTCCTCTGGGCAGCCTCCATCAGGGCCTCACCTGCGAGGAACACCTGCCTGTTACACTGAGGCGAGCCCTGGGGCGGGCGGCGTGCGCGTGCAGGATGGGGAGGAGAAGTGTGCGAGAGTGAGCTGTGGGGCTCAGGGGCTGCGCGTGGGCGCTGCGCCACCTGGCCGCATGCCTGTGACCAGGGAAGCCAGGAGGGACCCCAGGGAAAAGCCTCACCTGGAGGGGGCACAGTGTCCCCTTGCAGTGACCTGCGAAGAGAGCAGGACAGACGTGACCCAGCTCAGCCAGGCCCAGCCGGTGCCCTGCCTCACTCCAACTCGCCCCTCATTCTTTTCACCAGTCCGTCCTGTGCTTGCTATGCAGCAGCACCCTCTGGGCACTGAGTATCTCGGGATGGATGCCGAGGCCACAAACAGGTCAAGCAATAAATAAGGGACCGGAGGCGAGAGCGAGGAGTGAGGGTCCCCCCAGAGACCTCTGGGGGGAGGAGCTGAGCTGAGGTTCAAACGGGGGCTCTGGGAGCAAAGGGGCGGCGCCTGTGACTGGAGGGCCTGTTTTGGTTTCATCTGTGTAGACTCAGGCCCAAGAGGACCAGGGTTTGGAGCAGGAGGGGTGCTCGGAGGGCACAGGCTGACACGAGACTGCTCCCGGGGGAGAGCAGGGCAGGCAGTGTGCTGGGCGCTCTCGGGGCCAGGTCACCCTTTCAAGCAGTGGCTGCTGGACATGCCGGATGCGCTGGACAGACTGGGGCTACAGGCAAGAATCTGGAAGCCACTGGCTGCAGACAGGTGTAAGGCCAGGGGACTGAGGAGAGGTGGCGCTGGGACTCACCGAGGCGTGGGGGAGCAGGGGGAGGCAGGAAGGGGGGAAGGGGGGGGGGGGAGGTCGGGCTGGGCTGATGCCCCCAGCAGCTCGGGGTCCAGGATGTAAATCTCATCCTGCGCAATCTCGGTCACGTAGTTGAGGTGCTCCTGTGGGTAGCAAAGTCAGGGCTGAGGCACAAGCAGCCCCAGTGGGGTCCCCAGTGGAGTCCGAGGGGCAGAAAGGACAGCAGATCTGGAGAAGCCTCTGCTCTGAGCAGGGGCCCCACTCTGCTTCCCGCTGCCCAGGCCCAGCCCACCCCATGTGCCAGGCCACTTCTCACTGCCAAGCCTTTGCCCGGGTGCCCTGGCTCTCTTCCCTCCTCGGAGGACATCGTGCTTTTAGGACGCCCCCCAGGCAGCGAGCACTGTGGCGCACACCTGGGAGGGTGCAGAGACCCACTGAGGGGCAGCAGCCCTGCAGAGCTCACCTGCGCACGGTCGATCCTGTAGAAGCGGCTGGCAGTGGTGGCTGTGGGGAGATGGGTAGCCAGGAATGAGGGAGGAAGTCCTGGTCCCGGCCCAGGGAGGCAGGCCAGCCTGGGCCCTGGGGAACTGACCCCCAGTGTGCTCACCATCCAGGAAACACCACTTGGGTGACAGTTTCTGGCACGTTGGGGACTTGGCTCCAGCACCATCGGACTCCTGGTTAAGAGGGAAGCAAAGGTTGGGGTGGGGCAGAGCTGGTGGGGAGCTGGGAGCAGGCACCCACTCATCTTGCCACCTTGCCCCTTACCTGCTGCAGCCTCTCGATGTGGGCACGGCAGAGCTCTAGGTCGCTGTCTCCGGGGACCACCACGGTGCCCAGTGGCACGGCTAGGGGAGAGCAGCCTGTCAGCATGTGGCTGTCCCCCTGCCCACCTGCAGGGCCCCTCCCGGCCCCAGCTCCGCCGCCACTCACAGGCCTCCTTGAGCTGCTCCTTGTCGTAGTGCAGGGCCTCGTAGTCATGCATGCTGACCTTGCTCACCTGGATCCGAAGCTGCTCGGGGACAGGCTGCTGGCTGTGGGGTGGAGCGGGTGGAGGGCAGGAGAGTCGGCAAGCGCCCTGCACAGGTGTCTCTCCAACCTCACTGTGCCGAGGGCCGCCCTCCTGTCCCCTCAGAGCCCCAGGGCACAGGGACTGCCCCCACCCTGGTGGTGCTAGGGATGGAACCAAGGGCCCATGCACGCTGGCCAATACTCTAGCTGCAGTCCTAGCCCGGCAGCCCCTTTCACGGCAGGGCCGGGGGAGCGCAGGATCAGAGGGGCAGCCCTGGGGGCGTACTCGCTGTGCAGGGGCGCAGCACTGCGCCGCTTGGCCTTCTGCACCATGGTGGCCTGGTTGCGCAGTGCGATGCGGATGCGTGAGGCAGAGAGCTTGCAGGGCTCGCCGTCCACCTGGACCGGGATGGCCTTGGCTGTGGTGAGCAGCACCTCCCGGCACTGTGTCAGGCGCTCGCCGTGCCCGCCCACCTGCAGTGCTGCCTGCGGGAGCAGGGGCTGGGGTCAGGTGGCGCTCAGGCTCTGGGCACACAGGCCCCAGACAGAGTGCAGAATGGAGGGGCGAAGGTTTTCCCAGGCCCAACACTGAGAGGACATGGGCTGGATCACTCTTGAGGCAGAGGAGGTGAGGGGAACCCTACCCCGGCCACGTCGCAAAGGGGGGTGACGCCCCGCAGTGTCAGGCTGTGCTCCAGGACACGGGGCAGAGCCAGGACCACTCACTAGGGACGTCATGGTGAAGCCGATGACCTCGAGGTAGCCGTCGTCATGCCTCTGGGGCTCGAAGTCGTGGTGTTCCCCAGGGTGGCCCCAGGGCATGGTGCCCGCACAGTACCTGAGGAGAGGGGTGGGGCGGGTTTTGGGGCAGGTTCTGGGGACCACAGGGCCCACCTAGAGCCTGCTCCTCACCTGGGGATGTTCAGGAAAACGATGCACTGGGGTTTGAGGTCCTGAATCTTGGGGGTCAGGTCCATTCCGTCACACTGGAGGCGAGAGCGGCGCAGTGCTGGGCCCGTGGTGCCGGGGGCCTCCCTCCCCGCTGGGCCAGCTCCTCTGCTCCGCCCACCGCCCAGCCCCACTCACCACCACCCGGATGTGCTTGGCCAGGTCCTTGGAGCTGCCCATGAGGAAGTCGGAGAAGGCTGTCTGTGGGGGACAGGGGCTCACCATCTTGTGACAGGGACTCTCCCTGGCTGCTGAGGAAGGTCTGGGGGCCTGACAGACACAGGGGCCGTGGGGGTTGGGGTGCCGGCAGAACCCGACTCACCCCGGCGTAGAACATCTTGTTCCGGAAGCGGCTGTTGAACTTCTCTGGGTTGGCCTCTGGTGGAGACGGGTGGGGGACAGTCAGGCGGGTGCTTCCCAAGCTGGGGTGCAGCGGGAGGCTGGGAGCGAGCGCCTTTCATTCTGGGGCCCTCCCTGCCGTGGCTGCCCACCTCGAGACTCGTGAAACTCCAGGGTGACGTGGGCATCAAAGCCCAGGCTGAAGTAGTTGTTGAAGACGTCCAGGGGCAGCTGGAGAAGATGGGGCACGGAGATGAGGGCGGCCTCACGATGTCCCCTGGCCAGGGTGAGAGTGTGGCCCAGCCCCCGCTGCACACACTGCCCCGTGCTTTGAGGGCTCTCCCCTCGTCCTCGGCCCTGGTAGGGCCCCCACTGCACTGTGCCCGTGGTGCAGAGCACTGCACAAGCCTTGGGAGTGGGCACTGTGTTCCCCACTGCTCACGGCTGGGCCTGGCGCAGAGCAGGTCCTCGGTAAACGTTTGCCAGGTGGCTGCAGAAAAACTGCCTTGGCAGGTGGCACCACTACTCCCCTGGGATGTCTGGGGACCCAGGGGACCTACCCAAGTTCCCAGAACCAGTGGGTGGGAGTGCGGGGCCTGGGCCCAAGCTCTGAGCCCCTGACCCACCCGGTCGGTGGCACCCTCATCCCGCTCCTCGGGCCCCGCGTCTGGGTTGGGCTCGGCGCAGAGGTCCCAGCGGTCCAGCTGTACCACGTTGCCCTCCTCCACGTGTGACAGGATCTTGGACACAGGCTCATCGGTGTAGCCCTGGCGGAGGAGGCTGGATGAGCCCTTTGGGGAGAGCCGCCCCGGTGAGAAGCCCTGTCCCAGGCACTTACCCCACCCCAGTTGAGGGTGCGGGCCAAGTCGTTGCCAGTCCCCAGAGGCAGGATGGCAACGGGGGGCGGTGGCTTCAGGCGTAGCTGGTCCAGGGTGGAGAGGATCCAGCCAACCTGGAGGAGGCAGAGCGGGCAGCGGTCAGGCCCCTGGGGGACTGTGTGGCCCGACCCGGCCCCAAGAACCCACCGTGCCGTCGCCCCCGCATGCCAGGATCCGCAGGTTGTGCACTTTGCGGTACATTTCCAGCCTGGGCCAGGAAAGGACAGGAGTGGGGTCAGGGGGTGCACTATGCCCGAGAGAGTCAGGCGAGCCCCCTGCCCCCCAAGAGAAGCCGCCGAGTGCTTACGCCTCCTTGGGCCCTCCCTGGCTCAAGTCAAAGACTTGGCGGGGGTTGAGGTACCACAGGAAGGACTGGATGATCTTGGCGCCCTGTGGGAGACAGGGGGACAGGGACAGGGACAGGTGCAAGGAGGGAATGAAGCCAGGCAGGAGGCGGTGGGGGAGGGGCCCCATCCAGAAGGGGTGAGGCAGGAGGGGCCACCTCGGCCCCTGGAAAACAGGTGGAGCCAGGAATGGCTGCCTGCGGGGGTGACCCCCACCCAACCTGCAGCCCTGGGAAGGGAGGGCCGTGCTTACCTGGTTGCCTCCACTCTTGGGGTTCACAAACACCAGCAGGGGCTTCATGAGGGGGGACGGGGTGGGCCTGATGATGAAGGGTCTCCAGCGGCTCTCCTTGGAGACACGAGGCCCTGAGGTCCCCTCCCCAGGCCCCTGGCGGGATTCCTCCCCCTAGTCTGCACAGCCTCGGGTACCACATCAGTCACGCTGGGGTGTGGGGCACAGCGGAGCGGACCCCAGCCCAGCTCAGGCCCCAGGGCCCAGCCTGACACAAGGCCCTGGCCCTCTCCCGTCCTGTCCCCTCCCCTCCCCTCCTGCCGGCCTCAGTCTAACCTCAGGCCCTTTCTTGCTCGACTTCCTCTTGAAGGACGCTCTCTTCTTCTTCTTGCTGGCCTTAAGGGTATTCTGTAAGGGAAGCAGGTGTGGGGACAGACAGGTGAGTGGGCTGGCAGCCCCATGGGTGGGGGCAGTGGGGCACAGGACTCACCTGGGGCCTCCGGGCACGGAGGATCCAGGTGGGCGGGATGACCAGGGCCGCGTGGACCCCCAGGGAGCAGGGCTCCTCGATCTGCTGCAGCATGAAGCACGACACCTTGCTGTGGTACTGGAAGGGAGGCAGGCAAGGCTGAGCTGGGCTGGGCCCGGGGTCAGGACCCCACCAGCACTAGTGCAGTGCAGATACGGGCCGGGCGGGTCGCCACTCACCGCCTGCTTGCACCAGGAGCAGCTGATGGCCACGATCTCCTTGCTGTGGAAGGTGAACTTCTGCTGGAAGCCCTGCAGGAGGACAGGGTGGCTACACACAGGGCCACAGCAAGGCCTAGCCCCTCCTCCGCTACCAGCCTCTCTAGCTGGGAGACGGAGCCCATGGTTAAAAAGCCCAGAAACTGGGGCCGGGGATTCAGCTCAGTGATTCCGCCGCTTGCCTCGAAAGCACAAGGTCCCAAGTATGATCCCCAGTACCAAAAAAAGAAAAGCACAGAAATGTAACAAAGCCCAAGGGCAGGGCTGCTCGGCCACCTCATGGGACGTACTGTGTCTGAGGCTCCAAGGTCTGACTCCTGCCTGACCCAAGTTCCCTTCCTCCTGCAGGAAACCTGGCCAGGCCCCCCGAAGTACCGAGCTGGGTCCCCACAGTGCCCAGCACTCACCCCACTGCCTGTCTACCTCATGGCCCCTGGCACAGGCCTCCAGGGGCTGGGCTCTGAATATAGAGGGAGGCACAGGGCCTCTACCTGCATGAGACGGACATGAAGCAACCAAGCACGCAAACTGTGCTGGGAAGCTGCTCCGAGGGGTCTGTCTCCAAGCTTCACTGTCCTCAGCAGGGCAAGCTCACCACACAGCTCAGTCGCTACCCGCTGAGCTAGCCAGTGAGTCTTGGAGAAGGCCAGGCAGCCAGACACTGCTCTGGAAGCAAACCTTCCTCCCTGCCCTTCCGCTCAGCCCAAAGACCAAGGGCGCAACCAGGGCATCAGGGACTGAGAGGCAGCCAGGGACGCTGTGCTGGGGTAGCGGGGCCTCACCTTCCCGCAGTGCCGGCACTTGCCATCCTGTCGTCGCCTGTGCACCCAGTGGTGCCGTACGAAGGTTGGCTGGAGGGAAGAGAGATGTCCCTGGGGCGAGGGGTGGAGCAGCACAGCCTGGGGCTGTGTGAGGAGAGCGCTGGAGATGTCCGCCTCTGTGGCTGAGCCTCACAGGAGGGACACGGCGCTAGGCGGACAGAGGGCTGGGGCACAATGAGGTACAGGTGCCCCCAACTGGCAAGGCCAGCCAGGCTTCCCCTCTGGGAGACTTCAGAGCCTGGGCCCAGCACCTGCCAGGACCCCAGAGCACCCTAGGAGGAGCTGAGGCCGTGGTGGCCCTCCAGAGGCACCACAGAGGGACCCCTCAGGAACGCAGGGTGTCCTGATCCCTAACCACCTTGCCACTTACCTCTCGGACGTTCCTTGAGCCCGATTCCCGGAAGGATGGCTTACACCGGAAGTTTATCTGTGAAACAGTGCAGCAACCAATGTCAGAAGCTGCTTTGGACAGGGTCATCCAGAGCCACCCTTGCGGGGAGAGTGCCCCAAACTCTCCCAGGATCCCTCTCAGAAGCCCTACTGCCCGCTAGCCAGAAGGGATCTTCATTCCTCCACTCAGGATCCCAGGATGGAGACCTGGTACGCCGTGTCCTCGCCCCACTGGAGTGGGACCATGGCTTACTCATCCTTCTATTTCCACAGCCGAAGAAAATGTGGGAATCTGGCCCCTGCATGCAGGCCATCAGCTAGTGTGTGGAGTGGGCTTGATTTTTACCACCCGCAATGGGGCTGCACTTCCCCTTCTCTTTCCCTCACTGTGCCTGCTCAGCTCCACTCTGTCGCTCGGGGCCAGCAAGGCAGCCTGCCCCAGCAGAGTTCCCAGCACCCCTGGACTTCCAGACATCCCCGTGTGGGCCTGGGTGCCCCTGCTCATGGCGCCTCAGCCCTGCCGTTACCAACCTCCCTGGGCCCTGGGTTCTTTTATTTTGCTCCTTAGAAGCAGCGTCTAGATGCCCTCCAGCTGTAGACACACTGTGTACAGCAGTCCTTAGGAGGTAGGGGCGGTCTCTCCAGAGGCAGCACACAGGGGACAGAACCAAGCTTAGGGTGACACAGGACAGGGCTAGTCACAGCCGAGCAGCAAATTCAACAGGCTCTTCTGAGTGTTAGCACGGATGTGACGAAATGGCATCACGGCACCATTTGTTAATTCACACCAGCAAGCAACATTCAGGGAGCCCCACTGGGCCAGGTTTGATCTAGGCAGTGGGTACAGCAACTACTAAATGGGGAGGCAGCGTGTAAGGCAGGCGTTTGGCTCCGGGATCCCTGCCTCACTGCCTACTGTGTTGCTCCAGTAGGTGGGGTCAGTGTGACACGTGTGTGTTTGTGAGTGGCTGTGCCACTCACCTTCTCCAGCTGCTCGATGCAGGGGGTGTGTACCACGATCTTGCAGGCTGCACACTTTTTCCTGGGCACCGATTTCTGCTGCAGGACAGAGAGGACCCTGAGGCACTGGGCAGCACCACCGCAGAGGCCACCTCAGGCAAGCAGAGTCCCTCTGGGTCCGCCCTGCATGTCTGGGCACTCCCAGCACTGGGCACCAGGGCCAGTTCCCCTTCCCTTGGCCCAGGGGCAGCATACAAGAGGGGACTCAGGTGAGCACTGCCCACCTTCAGAAGGGCTGCAGCTGTCAGCCCCGTGGCTAGACCTTGCTCTGCCGCCAGGGGGCAGCAGCCCCGCAGAACTCACCAGCATCTTGGCAACACAGTACTGCTCCCCAACATAGCAGAAGTCCCCCGACACGTTGGTCTCAAACCAGATGTGCTCTCCATACGTGGCTGACTCCTAGACGTGGGATGAGCATGCTCAGTGTACGCCAGCCACGCTGCCCTCGCCGCACTTCCTCTCCCAGAGTGAATGGGTTCTGGCCACCAATCCTTTCCTCTGCCTCGTTTTCATCACTGTCTATTCTTTATGCCTGGCTCGAAGATAGCCACCCCCAGAAGTCTGCCCGGATCCCACAGACCAAGAGTCTCCCTGTCCCCGGTGCCCAAGACCTCTCCCGACTGTGCCCACAGCCCAGGGCCAGGACCCAGCTACTCACGCTCCAGTCCACAGTGCTCCGTATCTGCCGCTCGGACTCGCCGCAGGGGGCCCCGAGAGTGGGGGGAGGGGGTGCCAGATGCTGGAGGCCCGATTTGGTGGTGGCTTTCCTACAAGGAAGGGGACACTGAGGCCGGGGCCTACTGGCCACTGCTGACTCTCCACCCTGTGTGACTGCCACCAAGGCCAAAGCGGAGAAAGCAGTGACAGGAAAGGCACAAGAGCCCCATGGCATCCCTGGCACCCAGAGGCCCCTGCCGCAGACTGAGCCCTCCTCCCAGCCTCAGGCGCTGCCTGGCTCTGCTCCGAGGGGAGCCACCACGGCCAGGTGGGGACGCCCCTGCTTCATGACCCCTGCTGGCTGCTAAGATACCTACACAAGCAGGGCGCTCCAGGCCTGGGGTCCGGCTGCTGCCTTGCGCCTCAGGGCCACCTGGCGCCTGCGGGACAGCGGACATACCCGGGCCAGGATCACAGGGCCCACGGAGGTGCCTGAGGCTCTTCGGGCCCCAGGGCCAGGTTGTTGGCCTGAGGGCCGCAGCTGGCTGAGGCGCCGATAGTGGCCGTGCAGGCCCCAGAGGGTGTGGCCATACACCACATCAGCAGGGAGCAGGCGGGTAGACGCCCGGCGCAGACACCGAGGCACAGGCAACAGCGGCCCAGGACCCCGGGGCGTGGGGGGCTCAGGCATCCCGGTGCCTGGCTGAGTAGAGCCGGATGGCCCGGCCATCGCCTCCGCTGCCAGGATGCCCTCCTCCTCCTGCCCCTCCTTCATGCCCGCAAGTCCAGCCGGCAGCAGAGGCGGCCCCAGACACTGGGCCCCCACAGGGGCAGGCTGTAAGGCGGGCACCTCCTTCACCATGAAGCGGGGGTTTCGGGTGGGGGGAGCAGTGCTGGAGCGCCGGCGGCAGCTGGCACCCTGGGCACCCAGCCCGCAGACTGGGAGGCAGCCCTGGAGTTGGGCACTGGAGCGGCGCCGCTGTGCCAGTGAGGAGGAGGCTTGCCCGGCAGGTGAGCGGCGCCGGGCCTTGCTGGTGGGCAGCCCCACACTGCTAGGCAGCCGCTGCCCCTCACCAGGATTTGGTGCCTTCTGCTGGAAGTGTTTCCGAAAGAAGGTCTCCATGCCAGGGGCAGGCCGGGGCTGTTGGGCAGACCAGGAGCATCAGAAGCTGGCCAGGCCGCAGCCCATCGGTGCCCATGGGCAGAGGAGGGGGAGGCACAAGGGGAGCCTGGCCTCTGGCCTCCATGAAGCCTGAGGGTGCCACAGGATTCATAGGGGAGACACATTATGGCTGCCCAGCACTGACCCTCTCACCCCAGGCCGGAGCATCCTAGGCTCCGGGGAGTCATGGGTAGCAGCCTTGGTGGGAAAGGGCTTGGAGTTGAGTCTGCCAAGACCAACTGTGGGGCGTGGGCTTTGCCCCCAGCATGGGATAGCTGAGGCTCTCTGTGAAGGCCGCAGTGCTGAGAAGACCCAAACTCTCAGCACTAGCCCTGGGGCCAAGGTGAGGGTGGCACCAAAGGAGAGGTTCTGAGTCTGGCTTGAGGCTTAGGAGCACTGGGGAGCCAGGCCTCGGGGACAGCGGAGGGAAAGGCTCTGGACTCCGGAAGTGTGCTTGTCTGCAGCACCAAGAGCTTTCTGGTATTCAACGGCTTGGTCTCACCTCCGAGGGGGCAGAGTGGGGACATTCTCGTGACACCTGCCAACTGTGTGTGGCCCCAGGGTCTTGACGCTGGGCTTTCACCAGCGTCTCCCAGCCCTTCCCTCACGCGTGGGCCATGGGCTCCGGGCCTCCACACTCCTCAAGCTCAGGGGAAGGTGTGACACCTCCCGAGTGCCCAGGATGCCTGTGTCCCCACCAGGGGTTCTCTTGGGCCCGGGCCCCGGCCCCGTGCTACCTGGGCCATCAGGAGAGACTTCCGCCTGTCAAGGGCCTGACTGAAGCCGGGTGTGGAGGTGATGGCCCGGGCCAGCAGTGGGCTGACAAGTCCGAGCTAGCTCAAGAGTGTGCAGGGAAGCAATAGTGGGACTGCCTGACACTGAGCAGCCCCTCACAACCCCACAGCATGGGCACCCCTCAAACTGGACGTCCTGGCCAGGAGGTGAGCCCCAGACACCACGATTAGCCCTGTACCCGTGGGGTGCTTTACGGACCTTAACAACCCCGTGCTGTGTTCCTGAGGAAATGGGTGCAGACAGGGAACTGCCGACCCCCCAGGCAGTTGGTGTAGAGACCCACGTCTTCCACTGGCACAGCCCGCACCCCAGGGACTGAGCGGAGACAGGGCGGAAGGCAGGGTTTTTCTGTCTGGACACCGGGGCGGGGGGGCAGGGGACTAAGGTAGGAAGGACTTGGGAAGGAACTGTCCTCTCCTCAACACCTACTCTGCTCTGGGTCACAAGCCTGCGAAGGGGCAGGACCAGGAGCCCCAGTGTCACGGAGGTGAGGAAACTGAGACTCAGAGATAAAGGACATGGCCATGTCATGCAGCCAGCTGGTGCCACAGCCGGCCAAGCCTAGGTCTGCTACATCCCGGAAGAGAAGCCTGCTGCCTGCGCTGCCTGGGCACTGGCTTGCCAGGCCCCCCATGGTGTCAGCTTTCCCCACCCGTCTGCTCAGGCCACCCTGTGACAGCTGCCCAGCATGGAGATTAGTCACCCGGACACAACGCCTGATGCTAGTGTCACCCAGAAAACAAAAGGCCACAGTCCATGTGGGGGAGGTGACGCTGGGCTCCCTGGGTCCTGCCTGCCAGACCTGCATGACAGCGAGGGCCGGGAGGGAGGTGGCTGGGACCCCCGAGTCACGACGCAGGGCAGCTATAGGTGCTCCCACAGAGCTCAGCCCCAGCCCTTGGGCAGCCCTGTCCACATCTGTGAGGGACTGCTCAGCCAGCTGCTCAGGGGCAGGCCAGGCGGAGCCAGTACTGTGTGGCCATGTACCATGGGCCTCAGTTTCCCTGTTTGTCCAAGGGGAGTGTTAAACAGCTGACATTTACCACAGCTCTCCTGCTAGGCACCCACACCCCTAGGCCCCCAATGCCCCCTCCTCTGGATCTCATGCTTCCTGTTCCTCTGATCTCCACTGAAACCTCTGTCCTCTAGTCAGCAATGGCCTGACTCCTCACTTCCTATCTGCTGAGGCCTCTCCTAGGTCCGATTAGGAGCCCTGACCAGGCCTGGTGCCTTTTGTCATGGCCAGCTCTGTGCAATAGCTTTGCACTGAGTGCTGTCACCTTCAGCAACCACGCAGCACACGTAAAGGTCACTGCACTGGAGGAGACCCGCAGGGCTGATGCCCTGGCAAAGCAATGTGGCAAGGAGCTGGGGAAAGCCCAGCATACCCAAGAGGGCAGGCTGGGAAGGGGCTTGTGGGACCCCATCAACCTCCACTGGCTACCAAGGGCCTGATGCGGGCAGGCCGGGTGGGAGGACGACGGATGCCACTTGGGGCGACACGCTGGCGTGGGCTGTGCATCCCTGAGGCGTGGGGCAGCGGTGGCTGAGCCAGGCCTCCTGCTTGTGGGGTCAGCAGGCCCCAGTGCTTCCTTCAGCAGCTGCCAGCTAGAAAGGACTCCTGGCCTCTGGGCCAGACCCAGTACCAACTGCACCAGATGCCAGCCGCAAGCAGAGACAAAGCTCTTTGGAATCCTGTGTCTGCCATTGCTACCTGGGCTGACCGACTAACTTTCTGAGTCTCCACCTGCTCATGTGCAAAATGAGGACCACACCACCTGGCTCTGAAGCTGGCACCTCAGACACCCAAGCCCCGTCCCAACAGACCCCAGGGCCTGTGGTTGTGGCACCTCCTGGGGTTTGTCTGCCCACGCGGGGCTGGGAACCCAGAACAGGAAGCAGGAGTGCCCAGGGTGCCCACCACTCACACAAGAGGAACAGAGCCTGACAGCCTGTGCCACCTGGGTGTCCGCTCAAGCTCGGGTGCCCTCTGCCCCTGGTGCCAGGCCGGCCCGGGACTGCCCTGCCCACGGAGCTCAGCCTGTGGGGCCCAGCCACGGGTAGGATGATGAAGGCTGGGTAGAGCAGTGACCTCACTTCCAGCATTCCCAGAGCAAGGGCCTCAGCTACTCCCCAGGGGCCTGACTCCCCGGCCTCTAACCACTGCAGGAATCCTTCCCCAAACAAGACAAAGGACAAAAGCGTAGGGGGAGCAGGTGGGCCACAATGGAGCAGTCCCGAAAGAGGTTCCTTTCAGGGTCTGCCCCAGCCAGGGTGGTGGCAGGAGCTCGGCCAGACCCTCTCCTTCCCCCCAGCCGCAGGGCCTGCAGGGCAAGGCCACCCAACCCTTTCCCCACTTGGAGCAGAGGCAGGAAGGGAAGGAGCCCCCTTGACCTGATCTGAAAGGCAGGGCGCTGGCGGGAGGTGGGTGAGCAGGTGGGCCTGCCGGCAGCTCTGGCTCCCTCTGCACTGCGCTGCTGCTGGCCTGTGCTGAGCAAGTCCTAGTTTGGAGAGTGGCTTCAGCGGCGGCTGGGCCCTCCCCTCCCCTGCCACCCGCCTCCCCCTGCCTGAGACAGCCGTTATGAAAATAGCCCACTGGTAACTGACTGCACTTCCTCTCCCAGCAGCAGCGCCTGGCCCGGCCCGGCACACACGGTGAGAGCCTGGCCTCCTGCTCCTCTTCCCCAGGTCCGAGCCAGGCCCAGGGCAATGGCCCAGTCAGAGGCCTCCCCTCCCTCCCTCCCAGTCTAGCCGCGCCTCTGCAGGACTCCAGTGACAGGGTCTGAGGAGGAGCAGTGGGTTGGGGCCCCTAACATGGTGCCCTCCATAACCCTCACCAGGCAGGTTTTCTGGGGTCTGGAGGCCGAGAATCGAGAAGCACGCTGGCTCCAGACAAAGCAACCACAAAAACAAGCAATGGATTCTGGAAGCCTTCCCCACACTATCAGGAGGCAGCACCCTGTGAGGCAGCCGACTGTCCCCCGCAGGCACACCCAGGCTCTTGGTGTCCCTGGGTCCGGCCAGCTCAGAGGGACTGTGCTGAGACTCCAGGGACCCTGCAGAGATGCCCTGGTTGGCGCCAAGCTGAAGGGTGCCGGGAAGCCAGCTCCCGCCGCAGGTGCTTGTCCAGCTGCAGTGCCGCCCCTAGCTGGCTCCACATCCTGCCCTGGATCCCGGGGTCCAAACGGCAGGTGTCAAACTCCCAGATCCCAGGACGCCTTTCCACTCTTCAAAATCACTGAAGTTCTAAAAGATTAGAACTTTGGGGGCCGGTAGCTATTCATATTTACCACATCCAAAACTAAAACAGAAGTTTAAAATTGTATTAACTTGTTTAAAAACAAGAAAACTATCACGTGTTACTCCACAGAACATATTCAGAAAAAAATAAGCCTTCTTTTCTGAAACAAGGTAGAGAAGAGCGGCATGGGCATGCTTTGTGAGCCTCTTTATCACCTGCCTTCCTAGAAGGTAGCTGGTTCTCTCGAGGCATCCATGCCTGCAGCTCCTCTGCTGTGAAGCACTGGAGAAAATGCCTCATGAGGTCTGCAGCTGGAGAAGGAAGGAAGAGCTTACCCACCTTTCCAGGTAATGGGTGTTCTTTGCTACCATGCCAAAAGGAGTGGTTTTTTTGGAGGCAGGGTCTTGCTACACAGTTCAGGCTGTCCTCAAACTCATGGCGATCCTCCTGCTTCAGCCTGAGGGCTGGGATGACAGGTGTGCACCACTATGCCTGGCTGACATTTTGAATTTTGTAGCATCAAGCACTAGTCACTGGAAAATGATGGTTTACTAACCTATGGGGATCCTCCAAATGCTGACACATTTCCTTACACAATAGCAAAAGATCCCATGAACCGTGGCCATTAATCTCACCAGAGACTTTCCAGTCCCGGGAAGCTGCCAGGCACTAAAAGGTGCACACAGGTTTCCAAATGCTCAACAAGTGTCCCTGAAGGTCTAAGAGCCTCAGCTCCTCAGGCTGGGCTTGGTGCAGACGGACCTCAGGATCCTGTACTCTTTCCACCCGACCGCTAAAACACCTCCAACTCAAAGGTCTGTGTGCCACACACGAGTGCAGAATGCACAGTCTCGCCGATGCCTCGGCGGGTGTGACAGGCAGCAGCTTCCCCCACTGCTTCGCAACGGCCACACCTTGAGAGGCCAGGTGCCTCAGGAAACAC